TTCGTTCTTCGATAACAAGTGTTGTTTTCAAATAATGCATAGGTTTAGTATAATACTATTATATTCTCAAAAAAAAAGTTCGTTGTTCACGTTAGAAGTATATATAGCCTGTTTTTTCTCAGTTTACTAATAACTTTGCTGGTAATAAAGCGAGAAGCTTTGAAAGTTTGCAAAAACATGTTAAAAACTGTCTGTTTAATTATCTCAATATCTTCTTTTTAAAAGAAACATTATATATATATAAATAATTTGGGGAAAAAAGTTCAAAAATGGAAATGACCGCTGATCTTTTAAATGATGAAATGCGTGAAAGTAATAGAAAAAATAAAAACAGAGAAATAACATTTTGATCTGGGCATGCATGTAACACTCCCTTTTCTGTGAAACTGTTTTAGCACATACTAAACTACTTTCTCAATATGATCAATGCAATCAAAGAATCCGATTAGTGTAATAGACACTCAAATGCTAATGTTAGACTAAAATCAATTTGTCACCTGTTTGAGTTTAAATACCAAAGATAATTCAGGTACCGAATATATTAGGTATGAAAATAGAAAATATGCAACTGCACTCTAAAAAAAGCATCGTACTAGACTACGTCAGGCATGAAAAAACATTTCATAAATAAAATGGTTACTAGAAAAATACACTTAGTGTTTCTTTCTTTTACGGTTGATGTATAATTATGTTCCTGCTTATTAATAACTCAATTGCGATGACGATTGTTCAAAGCCGCATCCGATACACCCAAATTATACGGAGGTGGCTGTGACGGGTCATATGTTATTTCGTACGACGGTGGTGGTAATGCCCTTGTTGGATAGGAATATTGCTGCTGTTCTAGCTATAGTCGCTTTCTGCCTTTAGCACCGTATGCACGTTGGTGACACAGTTTACAACACTGACGCTGATAGTGAGGATGAGGATGGCAAGAAGCTCCATGGCCCATGGTTGTTCTTATGCAAAGAAGAACTAGCAACACTTTCTTCAGAAAAGTGCAGAACAGATAATAAACATTAGAAAAATAGATGGACAAAATAGAGGGATGGTGCTAATTAAATCTCATGACATTAAGCTACTCAAAAGTGTGTGTGGATATACTTCACAAATCGCAAGCAGTTAGTAGCAAATAATTTTAATTTTACTATCAATGGAACTATAATTAAGCGAGAAATGTTAGTAGTGCTCCTTGAAGCACTTCTAAGCTAAGATTTATTGTGGAGAGGGCATATTAGAGATTTATCTCTTGTATGCAAAAGACGTCTAGGAGCATTGTTTAGAACTTTTAGAGAAGCACCTGTGATGATTCGGTTAGCGATCAGGTGTTCTAAGTAAACTGGACTGTGGTAGCATTGTCTAAGATAGTAAACTTGAAAAAGTCACTAGACTAGCGGTACGAATGATATCTAAGAAATTCGATGGCTCTGCAACATCTTTGGTTATTAAACTCAAACTTCCAGATTTAAGAATAAGGACAAATATTTTAGGCTGTTACATTCTTTTAAAGTAAAAAATGCTATTTCTCCTCTTTCCACTTTCACTCCTCCTTTTATAAAACCGATAACTGATCGGAGTTCAGATCGACCTAAGGTTGATCGACAGAATAGTATGCAGGTTGAAATTCTGACAGTCAGTGCGGAGTCATGACTTATATTCCGATCGGCCTATATGATTATCTCGATTGGGCTACAAATCCCAATCGGGATATAATCCAGATTCGAACCAGGATATATATTCCGTTAGGGATATCGTTCTATCTCGATCGGACTGTATTACTAAACATGTTCAAAAAAGTATTGAAAGTGAATATGATCATTCACTGATTGTCCTAAGTGAAGCTTAAAATTTTGAGTGAAAGTTAAACGCTTTAGTGGAAAAAAATGTAGTAAAGCCTCCTCTACAAAATGCTGAAAACTGCGGGTTTCTGTTTCTTACCATTCTGGAGTTATTCAAACAAAAGCCATAGATTTTATATTTTGAATTGGATAGTAGGTTATCATTATCCGATACTTTGAAGATCCTCATGAATTCATATGCAGTTATAGGTGCTCTATCCGATGGCGGGATTTGTATTTCAGTAATCAGGTTTTATTTTTTCTAAAACGAAAGTTTTTTAAAAAAAATCAAAAATAGCCCGTTCCGGATATATTTTATATCCCGATGAAAATACTCGATTTTTGATGGAATTTTTACGCAGTACTCCAAGGGATGCATATTGCCGACTCTCATGGAATCTGAATCAGTTTTGAATTCTCTTTCGAATGGGATTATCCGTTTTTTATTTGGTTGTTAAGCAGAGGCCAGAAAAATGATTATATAGACCAGTCATGCTATACAAATTATCCTGATTGGGACTTGTAGCCTAACCGGGATAATCGTATGGGCCGTTCGCGGTTTTATCCGGATTGGGATATAAGTCATGACTCTACACTGACAGTTTCCAAAGAACATGTAGCCTCTTCATTTTTTTATCGAACAGCAGTCGACTGGAACTCTCTGCCAGAACAACTGACCGCAAGAACAGTCACCTCTTTCAAAAGAGCATTGCGAATCCATCTGTACATTTGAGTAATCTTTGTAGCATCATTATCTTCGTTATTCTTCTTTGTAACTGTCTTTTTTCTTTTGATTTTTCTTTTTTTATAAGTTTTACTCCTCTTTAAACGGACGTTTTCCTGGTTTTCATACAGGTGGTACTTTTTTGTAGGCCTCTGGCTTTTTGTACATACCTATGTGTATAGGATTTTCTGAAAGATTATTTTTTACACATGCAATAAAGTTCAGTTCAGTTTAGAAGTTTTTCAGGTGAAGAACGAGCAAAGACATAAGATTTATTTAATTTCATTTTATACAGAATTTTTTGTTCTTTATCAGACACATTATGGACAACTTCTCCATATTACTTCTATAAAACTTCAGAAGTTATATACTGAAAAATATTCATTTTTCCAAAAACAGGGTTTCAGTAAGATACAAATTTTTCCATCAAAAATTTGTTTTAAAACTTAGATTTTTCAGAAAACAATCGTTTTCCTTGTCCAGAAATTGTTCATAATGTGTCTGATCAAGAACTGAATTCTGCATAAAATGAGATTAAATAAGCCATAAGTTTAATATCTCCTGTTCACAACAAACTGCATTCAGAATTGATAGTCGAAAAAAACGTTGGGCCAAACATTCAAAGACATTTTGTATTGGGCTATGGCCCAATATTCCCTTCCCCTCATAGTTGCGCCGCTGTTTTTGAGGTCTTTATGTATTATACGAGAAGTTTGTCATTATCAAAATAATATTACTGGAAATTTATACATAATGAGAAAAAAATGACAGTGATTGTTTTCTCATAGAAACATAATGTGGGAGATACATGGTAGAACTTCTTATATTAATACACACGCAGAAGAAGAAAAACATGTAGATGTGGAGAAACAAAAAGGAGATATTATCATTAGTAAATGCTCTGAAGTAAGTTTCCTGTTTTTATCAGTCTTGAAAATATTTTGTTGGCATGATGCATATAACTTTTGTTTTGTTGATGTTATCGACACAGAAATAAGAAGAAAAAAGAAGAAACGAATGGTGAAAGACAGGAAGGATGAATCAGACACTCAATAAACAGAATGTTAGAGATGAAAGTAGATGAGGAAGGCATGCAACTTAATACTCAAAAACTCTGAGCGTTCTGGTTTATATATTGTAGTGTTATATTATACATCTCATCAATCGTTAAACAAGTAACGTTCATATACTGTCCTTGACTGTAGAGTGCGATAGGATGATCTTTCTACAGGTGTTTCCCAAAAGCTTCAACAACTGGGTGTATTCTACATTTTCCTGAGTTTAAGGGCAATGATTTTCCATAATAAGCGATTATAATTGCAGCTATCAAAAATAAATCATGTTGAAATAGATAATATCATTGCTACATATTTCAAATCTAGAAAATAATGCAAATAAACAGTAATACACTGCCAAATCAGCTATTGGCAGACACTATACACCAACTGATCGTACGATAACAGCAAGCGATTTTCGAATTGTTACAACAGGACAGCATAAGTATCGTTTACTAGCAAAGGAATCACGACTCATACGTGTAACTACACCGAAACAAAATGACACCAATCATTTGTATCGTTTTTCTGAAGAAGAAGAAATTCGATTATAAGTTTATATAGTGACAAACGTTTTGTACCACCGTTAAGTTCAATGGACTAAAGATATTACTAACATTACTGATTTGTTTAGGTTTCTGTAAAGTATAACATCATATTTTATAAATAGAATCTTCCGTTCTTTCTCGTCCTGTAAGAATGAAACAGATAAAAAGTCTAACATAGTTTCCTCTTTGCTGTTATTGTTAGATTCTTGGTTGAAAATGGCCATTTAAGGTCGAAATATCACAAAAGAATAAATATGATTAAAAATTTAAAATAACTGCAATTATAATCGCTAACTGGGTGTATGTTACTCGATTAATCCTTGCAGGTATAACCTTTTTCTGCCAATAACACACTCTGAATACAAGTAGCAATGCTCATGATTTCGGCCGCCCTGTAGTTTAAAGCGGACAATTTGTGCAGCTGTACTCATCTACTTTTAAACTTTCATCTACTAAAACTTTTCCTATTGAAATACTAAGAAAAAAATTACGGCCAATAGGAGGCGTTGTATAGGGCGCTTGTAGTCAAATTCTGATACGCCACGGTCGATCCTTCTTCTGTCGAAAGCTATTGAAACTTCATTTTTCTCATGTAAACACGCAAAAATATACGAGTTTTGGATTCTCCAACATGGATTCAGACCACCAGGCTGTCTTCTACCAATGTATGCAAGTCCTCGATTTCTTTATCTTTACAATTATCCCTCGCTTAAAAATCAAAGTGTTTCATGATAATGGAGAGTACTACTGTAGTAAACAAATTGTCTTTATTCAGCATGAATCCATAAAGTCTCTCAAAAAGTGTGTACATGTTTTAGTGAAAAAGGCTGGGAAAATGTTGAATCGAATTTTAATTTTAACCATTGCACTCTTATCGATAACTGCCGGTGCTGACAAAACGAAAATCGACGAAAGAGCTCTTAGTTATTTGAAGCGCTACGGTTATAGTACATGCGAGTCGTCATCAACATCAAAAGTTCGATGTAGTGAAAGTCCTGCATTAATGTTAAAAACATTTCAACGTTACTTCGGTCTGAAGATTACCGGCAAACTTGACAAGTCAACAAGAGCGATGATGAATCGTCCCCGATGTACCGTTATTGACAAACCGAGTCGAAGTCATGGCCCGCTGGGAATGGCTAGTGGCTTCAAATGGCCTCGTTTATCATTAAAATACCGAATCGAATCGTTTGCTACCGATAGACAAATCAAACAAGAAGATCAAATACGCATAATCGAAGAAGCATTCAATGAATGGTCCAAATACACCAGTATAAAATTTGTAATGGTGTGCCCTTCATGCCCAGCAGATATGTTCATAAGATTTGAGAGAGGCGATCATGGCGATGGATCAGCATTTAGTGAAAGTACGTTGGCACATGCTTTTTTTCCAACAGATGGCAGAATTCATTTTAATTCTGACTTTACATGGACAGCATCGTAAGTGGATTGTGTGCGTCTCCGTTTCTCAGGCTGTAATTTGTTTCATTTGTTCAGTTATGATAAAAGTCATCAAGACTACAATTTGTTCCTTATTGCAGTTCACGAAATAGGCCATGCATTAGGTATTGATCATACTCCGAACAAACAATCAATCATGTTTCCGACGTATCGATTCATGAAACGGTCAGAAATTTTGCCATTTGTAGATCAGCAAACAGTGCAGTCGATTTACGGGAAAAGTGAAACCGGTGAGCAACTCACACCAAATAACCAGGCTTTTTTAGCAACTCTTCACAAAAACTTCTTTTAAAATATAACTTCTTTTGATTCAAAATTTTTTAACAAGTATTGGATATAATTATCCACCGATGGGTTTTTGGATGTAGCCTAATCGATACTTGTTATAAGTAACATTCATCTTCAATTCGTTTATCGTTTAAATGAAAAGTGCGAGTGTGCAAAGCAATATTCACAATGTATAAAATAGTACAAATGTTATCAAGCTGCTTATTGTATCGACACCTGGCTCATCCAGAGCTAACATAACTGTCGCTATAGTAAGCAGCTTTCCACTTTAGTCTGGTTAATATGCTGAGTGTACCAGGCATGCAACGATTACCGTCATCGTTTACCTTACCGGCTTAACGTTCGTTATGAATGCATAAGAAAATCTATTAGAAAATGAGATTATGTAGAGAGTGTATTGAGGTCGATATTTTAAAGGTTTTTTATTTCTTCTTTGCTTGTCTTTCTATATTTTATCGTCTCCAAGAGTTCATAGAGTAAATTAAAATAGTGTTTTCATTTTTTTCCCATCGTTCAAATATGATCTATACAGTCTATCAGTGGTGAGAGAGTGGTCGACCGCAAGACACGGGAGTCTAGTATGTAGTATTTTATTAATTTCTTAAAAGTAAAATATGTAGAAATGTTCCTTCATTACGAAGAACAGATCTTAAGTATGACAGGTCATTCAGTTTTGTCTATGACGTACATGAAAGTGAAACTTGATCTGTTTTCGATAAAAATAGCACCATACGAATCTCCGTGATGAAGAAACATTTCTACATATTTTGCCACTTTTTTACCTAGTGCGCATCCAAGACGTGATGCTACCACCATCTAAAATGATAGAGTCCCAAGTACTACCTGCATGTAGTATATCTTATTAGTTTCTAGAAGACTAGGCAACCATTCTATACTCTTCAGTATTATCTTCTTCTATTATCTTCTTCAGTATTATCGGTCTTCTAGAGAACAATCAGACATATTACATGTGGACAATACTTTGGACTCGATCATTTTAGAAGTTTCTAGCCTCACGAGCTTAGATGCGCAATAGGTAGAAATCGTAGGTGTTTATCGTTTTTCCTTCAAAAAATTAACAAAAAAACGTCGCTTGGTACTCTATTTCAAAAAGGATATATTTCATTTTTTGTTTTTTTGCTTAGCTACCACAACGACCACAACAATAACAAGTAAGCAATGTGTCCCTGATAGCATCTGCAGTATTTTACCAAAGTCCATGCTCGGCCGACTTAAATCTGATAAAAGAACAGACGATGAGTAGCTTCGTGACTTTTTACTTTTTTTACCGGTAATACTTTGGACTTGATCATTTTAGAAGTTTCTAGCCTCACGAGCTTAGACGCACAATAGGTAGAAATCGTAGGTGTTTATCGTTTTTCCTTCAAAAAATTAACAAAAAAACGTCGCTCGGTACTCTATTTCAAAAAGGATATATTTCATTTTTTGTTTTTTTGCTTAGCTACCACAACGACCACAACAATAACAAGTAAGCAATGTGTCCGTGATAGCATCTGCAGTATTTTACCAAAGTCCATGCTCGGCCGACTTAAATCTGATAAAAGAACAGACGATGAGTAGCTTCGTGACTTTTTACTTTTTTTACCGGTAATACTTTGGACTTGATCATTTTAGAAGTTTCTAGCCTCACGAGCTTAGACGCACAATAGGTAGAAATCGTAGGTGTTTATCGTTTTTCCTTCAAAAAATTAACAAAAAAACGTCGCTCGGTACTCTATTTCAAAAAGGATATATTTCATTTTTTGTTTTTTTGCTTAGCTACCACAACGACCACAACAATAACAAGTAAGCAATGTGTCCGTGATAGCATCTGCAGTATTTTACCAGAGTCCATGACTTTCGAAAACTTTTCATTTCTGTCAGATCCTCAGATAACACTTAAAATCCGACTCTGTTAAGTTGTCGTGTCCACAAACGACGGACGCACTTGCTTTCTGGAATCAATGAGTATAGACTGAAACTGTTCGTAGCAAGCCCTGTACAATTCAGAACTCATAAGTAGTCGATCCCGTAACACATCACTTTCTCGTTTCAGCTGCAAAGGCTGTAG